ATATATATATTCAAAAAGATGCAGTTGGGAGCAGTGGTGCATGCCTGTAATCTCAATGGCTCAAGAGGCTGAACCTGGAAGATGGTGAGGTCAAAGTCAGATTCACCAACTTAGTAAGGCCCTAAGTGACTTAGGGAGACCTTGAATCAAAATATAGAAAGGGCTTGGGACATGACTAAGCACCCATGTTCAATCTCTGGTACCAATAAATAAATAAATAAATAAATAAGGGAAAATTGGTGGTGCAGCTCAGTGGTAGAATGCATGCTGAACATATGCAAGACCCTGGGTTCTATCCTCAGCACCATGAAGAATATATATATATATATAGTATCTGTGTGCATCAATAAAAATAAATAAAACACTTTCAAAAAAGATACATTTACCATGTATACGTATCTATAAAAATACTTTTAGAGTACTTAACTCTATAGCCCTTCTATTCATAAGTAATTTCTACATCCATACCCATTTCATTCTGTGTGTTGCTACACTTAACCCTTTTCACATTGAATCTGCATATTGAATGTTGACAATCTTAGTTCCTCTTATAGGAGACCATTTTTACACATCCTTCTATACCCCCCGTGGGTAGAAAAGGGGGCTGTATGTGAAGCTGTATGGGGGAATCTGGAAGCAGAAGAGGAGCTCCCCTTTGAGAAGGAACCAGACTGCAGGCTTGAACCCTATTTTTGAAGGACTAGAAAGGGATTTTACTCAACCTTCCTCACATCTGAACTCTGGGAGGTGGAGAAAGATGGAAAACTAATCAAGTCCAGAGCATGGAAAATGAGTAGCCTGAGCAAACAGGCAGGGCTTCCACCAAGGGCAGGGAAAAGGGCAGAGGCTTGAAGACCACACTTGTAGAAGGACAGCGGGAGTTCCAGGTATTTAGTAGATAGAGACAGCCACATGTCACTCTTACTTACTTGTATCGCTACTAACATCCTAGTCTCACAGGTCTTGACCTGAGCAAACAACCTAGAACATGATTATTGATACTCAAGTGTATGTTTTTAGGATTGCAGTTTCCCAGATTTACATTGTGCCATGTTCATGATTTCAAGGTCCTAGTGAAAAGAAAGCAGCAGTATGCAGTCATGTATCCCTGTGACCTGTATCAGCCAAACTAGCCACACTTTTGAACAGTTATGACAGATGTAACTATTGAAAGCATGCAGTATATGGCCCATGTCACTCTTGAGGACTGCATAAAAGTGTTAAGTCACATCATGTCTCTCACTTTAGCCTCTTTCTAAGCAATAAAAATCTTGAAATCACAGGTTTGATGCATTAGTTACACTTTTTCCAACACACATTAAAACAACAAAGGTATCCATTATAATACAAAGCTGTCAGTCATCGGTAACACCTTTACTAATTGTACCACATTTTGGGGAAGAACTGGTTTAACCAAATAGTTTCTTTTTTTAATATTATAGCTAATCGTGTATAGATTGTATATATTTTTTCCACTTAATTATAAGCTTCCTAACATCAGGGACCATGTTTAATTCAATGCTTAGTACTGTATTGAAGCTCAATAAATATTTGTTCTTTCTTTGGTTTGTTTGGGTGATGGGGTCGAGATTATTAGGAGTTAATCTATGTACTTAAGTTACACCTACAAGATCAGTATCACAAATAGGAGGGCAATAATTATTTATTTATTTATTTATTTTAAAGAGAGAGAGAATCTTTTTTTAAAAAAATATTTATTTAATTTTTTTTTAGTTTTCAGCAAACACAACATCTTTGTTTGTATGTGGTGCTGAGGATCGAACCCGGGCCGTATGCATGCCAGGCAAGCACGCTATCACTTGAGCCACATCCCCAGCCCCGGAGGGCAATATTTATATGGCAAAAGAAATTGCCCTGGTTTCAATGCTATACCTTCACTATTTGAACTTGGATTTAAAGGTGTTTTTATAATAACAGGATTTTTAAAAAGTGAATACTTTTTAAAAATACTCACATACTTTCTCCTTGTTCTTCCTAGGATGAATAAAATACAAGTTTAAGACTTCATCTTGGGCTACAAGATAGAGTAAAAGTATGTGCCTAGCAAGCAAGGAGTGAAATGTATAGTTATTGATCAGTAAATATTAGTTGAATGAATGTATGAAGTGACTTAGCCACAGTCAATTTACAACCCCTGGAAAACCATCAAAGAAAAATGGAGGAAGAACTAATAGCTATTCAATATGTAATATTCCAGAGCCTTTATGTCTTTCCTCCAGATTTCGTGAGGATAGACAACCCTACCTATCTTTAACCAAAGTTTGCCTTTTTGGAAGACCATAGTTTCCAAAGGATACGAGCTCCAATTTTATCAGAGAGCTGAACAGGAAGTGTAGTGAATAATGGACACCTTCTGACCAACCAAACTAATAAATGACCAAAGGAAGGTATGAATAAAGACTAAAATAAGCCAGGCATGGTGGTACACTCCTGTATCCCAGGGACTCAGGAGGCTGAGACAGGAGGATGGCACATTCAAGGCTAGCCTGAGCAATATAGTGAGTCCCTGTCTTAAAAAAAAAAAAAAAAAAATTAAAAGGAAGCTGTAGATGTGGCTCAGTGGGTAAGTGCCCCAATCCCAGTACAAAAAAAAAAAAAAAGGCTAGTATATTATTATTATTATTATTATGTGGTACCAGGGATTGAACCCAGAGCCTCACACATGCTGGGTAAACACTCTGTCACTGAGCTACTTCCCCAGCCCTAAGCTAGTATATTGAGAGAATGATTCTAACGACGAAGAGAAAGCTATACTAACTTTTCAGTCACTTGCTAGAGATAGAAAATTGATCAAATCTTCATTCCACCTGTCTCTTTCCTTCTAAATCAAATTTAAGTCCATAGGTTGTAAACTCAGGATTGTTTTACCCATTGGCACATAAGAAACATGTTCTTCATACACTGGAAGTGAGTGTTCCCTTAGCTACTTAGGAATGGAGGCAAGAACTAAGTGCAATAAAAAGAAAGTACACCTCAGAGGACCTTGCTTGGAGTCCTAACTCTGTCAAGGTCTTGATTGAGTGTTCTTATGCCTATTACTGATCTCTTCTAACTCATGGGTTTCCTTAACTCGTTCATTTAACAATTTTTTTCTAAGCACTTACTGAGTACCAAGTAGTGCTCAGTGCCCTAGGGATCCAATAATGAATAAAATCCAGCAGACCCACTTAAATGGAGTGTATCTTCTAGTGAAGAGTGACAGGTAATAAATGATTAAATAACCTCAAATGGTGAGCAGTGCTATGGAAAAGATAAAACAAATGATAAAGACAAATGGGGAGAAAGGGTCAGGAAAGGTCTCCCTAAGGCAGTAACATTTGAGCTGAATGTCCTAAAAGAAGCCAGCCAAGGAGCAAGGAATAAGCCAGGGAAAGAATATTCCAGGAAGAGGGATCAGTAAATCCTTCAGGAAGACCACGTTTGGGGCTGGCTGATAATCCAGGAAAATAATACTACGTATGCAGTTATATCAGGTGAATGATTTTGAGGGTTTTTTGTTGTTGTTGTTTGTTTGTTTGTTTGTTTTTGGTATTGGGGATTGAACTCAGGGACACTCAACCACTGAGCCAAATCCCCAGCCTTTTTTTGTATTTTATTTAGAGACAGGGTCTCACTGAGTTGCTTAGCACCTCACTTTTGCTGAAGCTGGCTTTGAACTTGCAATCCTTCTGCCTCAGCCTTCCTAGCCACTGGGATTACAAGCATGAGCCACTGTGCCCAGCCTCAGCTGAATGATTTTGACAAAAGACACCAAATAATCCTACAAATTTCTGGTTTTGTGTCGGGGGTCAACCAAGGGCAAAAGCTCTGCTATGAAGTTTTCATACACTCTAACACCCCCACCTCCAACACACCCTCTCTGATTAAACAAAAGCAGCTCTTCTTTAATCGAAAGTATTTCCTACATTGCTGCTTTAAGATTTAGTTGGAAGAAGACCAGGTTAAAAACATTATTGATCTCAAAAGTCATTTTCTGAGCAGGGTGTGGTAGTGCATGTCTGTAATCCCAGTGGCTCAGGAGGCTGAGGCAGGAAGATCTCAAGTTCACAGCCAGCCTCAGAAACTCAGTGAGGCCCTGAGCAACTCAGCAAGACCCTGTCTCTAAATAAAATATAAAAAAGGGAGAGGGGAATGCTGGGGATATGGCTCAGTGGTTGAGTGTCCCTGAGTTCAATCCCCAGCAGCCCTCCCCCAACCCCCTGCACAAGTCATTTTCTGCTCTTCCTCAAGCTCTATGAAGTTTTCATACAACCTCTATGATGGCTATAGGAAGCTTGATTCTACTTTTTTTGATTGACAGAGTCAGGAAATACAGATTCCAGCAACCTGACTCTGCTCTCAACCAGAGCCTTCCATTCCCTTTTCCTGTCATGGTGGGTTGGACTCTAAGGTACCCTCTAAACATATGCCTGGTAGGAAAGGATGTTGACTCTGCCTCTTATGCTGGCTTCTTAGCTTGCTCTGTCTGAATGAGATGCTTTCTGTCCTGCACAGGAGAGAGCTTTGTGCAGGTAGCTGAGGAAGGACTAGTTTCTTTCCAACCTGTAAAATGCAAAGTTGGCCAGCTGCCTCCCTTCCAACCCCAAAACTCATATCTTCTCTTGTCTCCAGAGAGCTGTCTGGCAGCTCTCAAATCGTCTGACTGTCCTGGGGTTTTGGGAAAAGCACTGCACAGAATGTGAAGTCATTTTCTGGTAACACAGATCTAATTAGCTCTTTGACTGACAGGAGGAAGCAGAGGCCAAGAGGGATTTAAACAATCCAGTCTCACATATCTCAAGACAAGTGAAGAACCAGACGGGAAAATGGAGAGAAAAGGGGAATAAAGAGAAAAAAGCCTAGGGAGACTATGGAGAAGGGGGAGGGGAAGAAAAAGCATGGGGAAGGGAAGAATATCAAATGACCAAAATATCAGTCCTTTGTTCTTCTAGCTTCATCTCTGTTCCCAATTTCCCTTCTCTCTCCCAGACAGAACTTACTTGAAGGTCGATGATTTCTCTTTCTGATTCCATCTTGCTGCCCTCCAGAACCTTCACACACCGGGTGCTAGAAACAGACTGCGTGGGCTCCTCCAGGTTCTGCTGTCTGTCTCTGCTGCTTTCCTTGGGTGGGAGAGAGTACACAGCTGGCAGGACAGACCTGCTATTCATCCGGCTGATGCGGGATGGCCATCCTGGCCTCAGCCCCTGGGGGAGGTGTATACTTGTCCACCCGTGCAAGCATGTGTTTCTGCATGTGTATGCATATGTGTACACTCCAGAGGCTGGCGTGGGGCTCACTCATTAATGGGTGGCTTTTTGAGTTGGTGGTGACAACATCATTTTCACCAGCATTTCCAATGCCCCTCCAGTCCCAGCAGAGCCATCTGAGGTCACCCAGCCTGCTTTGAGTAAGTAGTTTTACTACTAGGAAAGAAATCCTGCATATTTATCAAGGAATTTGAAAGTCAGCCTGAAGATGTTTTTTGAGTTCACATTGGTTGAGCTGAGCAGGGTCCCTAGTCCAAGGGTGGGGTAGACTTCAGCATAGCCTCGAGACTGAAGTTTAGGAATTTTTCTGGTTCTTTGCTTTGAACAAAGCTTAAAAGTTTGTTTTTTTTTAATGGTAGTTTACTTTAATAGGCTCAAAGCATAAGCCTTACTCTACAAAGTGGTTAAACAACAAATTTTTGTTGATATATTGTTTGATACCTTTAACTTCTCCCTTTATGAAAGAAGGAGAGAGAGAGAGAGGGAGCAGGGAAAAGTTGTACCTTCGAATCCTTTTCATGCAACGGGTTGCATTTTCTCTACTTTTTAAGGAAAGCTACCAGGGCTAAGTCTTTTTTTGGAAAGTATTTCTTTCTCCTGTTTACCTAGAGCCCAAAACTCTCCTGACTTGTTCCTAAAGCTCATTTTAGAACTAAGCTGGTGTGGGTGTGGGTATGTCTGTGAATGTGCATGAAGGAGGGGTTTGTCAGGGAGAAGTCTCCTTCAGAGTTTAAAGAGATGGTAGTGGTAGGGAAGAAGCAGAGTCACAAATTTACCCTCACTATACTTCAATGCACAGAGTTGGAGGGCAATTTCTTTATTTCTGTTAAATGTCTTTTTAAGTTTTCACCTTACTATTCAGTGGTGTGACAAAGTGTTGGACAATGGGATGGGAATCCAGCTTTAGTATAATCTAATAAGCATAGTTGAATTTAACAATTTAAATGGTGAATAGCCCAGCATAGATAGAATAGTCTTTTGGATTTCTACCTCTTTTTCCCAAAGAGGGCGTCTAGGCCGAGGGAGATGGGTGGATGAGGGATGGTTCTTGGAATTATCCCATGGCCTCTCTGTTTAGTTTCTGCTGTTTTCTGCTATGGAGCTGCTTAGAAGGGGCAGGGCTTCCCCATGGCTACATTTACTAGTCTCTGAGGAGAGTCTGGTCCTACTCCATGCCCTCCTGCTGACACTGGCAATGGATGTTTATGGCCAGGAGAACTCGCTCTCTGTCTCCATTTAAGGACCAGTGGTCTCCCTAGTTGAATGCCCTATCTTCACTTTTGTGGTGACGTGGACCACCCTGTAACCTGGCCATGACTTGAAAATATCCCAGACATACCAGCTCAGTGGTACAGCTCTCTAAGGTGGCCTCCTCTGGAAACTCTCCTACCGGATACTCAGCTAATGCTCCTTATTCCTCCCTGGGCTCATGAAGCTGAGGGGTGGTAAGGAAGAACTAGAGAAAGGCAAGCCCAGTACCAAAGCTGGCAAACAGTCTTCTTATAAGGCTATGCAAGGTGGGTGCAGCTCAGTTTTTGAGGTGACTTCCTTCCAGATTCCCAAATGGGAGATGTAGAGCCCATTCCTTTGAAAATCTACCACCAGTATCTATCACCCCACTCCTCATAACAATAACGATTTTGACCACTGCGACACAAAACCTGAGAAAATCAACTTAAAAGGAGAAAAGGTTTATTTTGCTCATGGTTTCAGAGATTTCAGTCCATGGTCACATGTCCTGTTATTTGGGGACTATGGCAGCATAGTACATCATGGCAGGAACGCTTGGTAGAAGGATTCATGGCAGTGTCATGGCAATCATTGAACAGAAAGGGGCTGGGTTCCTAGTATCCCCTTCAAGGGTGCACTTCCTCCCACTAGGTCTTACCTAGTGGTCCACCACCTCCCCAATAGCACTGCAGACTGTGACCAAGCCTTTAACCCCTGGGCCTTTGGGGAACACTTCAGATCCAAATCACAGTGAGAAGCACTGTAGCTCATACTCACCTTATTTAATTTTCACAACAATTCTGGGATATAGATACCTTTATTACCACTTTATAGAGGAGGAGAGAGAAACACTAGAGGTTAAGTAGTTGACCAAACTTAAACTGAAATTTAAACTTTGGCATTCTGGATTCAGTCTTTTATTACCCACAATTTTGGCTTAGAGAGGAGAGATTGAACCACATCTCGGAATTCTTGCTCTCCCTTCCTCTGCTATATTTCTTCCCATAATCCCCACAATCTGGGATCAGAAAAGAGGGGCTTTGTCTTCTTGCTTCTCCTGTTTGACTGGAATGTATCTTATGTGGAATTATATGGCAATAATTCAAAGAGGAAAATAGAGAAATTTAAAAAATTCTCTTTCTCATCAAAAATATGTCTTAGGTAGCCATAGTGCTACATGCCTATAATTCCAGCAACTAGGGAAGCTGAGGCAGCAGGATAACAAGTTTAAGGTCAACCTGGACAACCTCATGTCAAAAAATTAATTTGAAAAATAATCAAAATAAATAAATATATATATATATATATATATATATATATATATATTTTTTTTTTTTTTTTTTTGTGTGTGTGTGTGTGTGTGTAGNTGTGTGTGTGTGTGTGTGTGTGTGTGTGTGTGTAGTCTTGCTGGAAAATTTTAATTTGGGTGTCAGAGCAAAATACTACCTGTTTTCTTTGTGTCCTTGTTATGGTAACTCCCACTAATCTGTAGATAATATGGATGCATCTGGCTCAACCGAGGGGAAACCAGAAAAAGAAAATGCAAAAGAGAAAAGCACCTGAATATATTTTCAAAGAAATTTCCCTATTAATAAGCACATTGACCTCAAAAGGAAACAGCTGTGATTGGTTATAATAATGTGTTTGTTGCCAAGATCTTTCTGGATTTGAATCTTTCCTATCTCATAATCACTACTTGGAAGTAAACAGAAAGTAGGATTTGGAAAGTGGTTTATCTACCCTATCACACTGTGACTCTGGACCAGGGTCAGCGAATGTTTTCTGTAAGGGGCCAAAGAGCAAATATTTTTTAGCCTTTGTGGGTTATGTTTTTAACTGCAATTACTTAACTCTGCTATTTCAGTGTAAAAGCAGTCGCTGATAATATATAAATGAATGAGTATGGCAGTGTTCCAATAGACCTTTACTTACAAAAACCTAGTAGTCATATTTATAAAAACAACACCTGATTTGGCCACACAGGTTGTAGTCTGCTGACCTTCATCCCAGAATTTAAGAGAAAGACTCTTTCAAATCTAATTCTCACTTGAAAGGTAACTGTGGAACCCCTACTGAATGGATATTGTGTTAAGCTCTGCGGGGACATCCAGGCCTCCAATGCAGCCCTGGTGAAACACAGGCCTGTACGCGAGGCTGAGGTGGAGAGTGCTTCTGACATTCGGCTCAGGTACTGAAATTGTACCTACATGGAGGCTGTTCAATCTAGAGGGGAAAGGTTTCTGTTTCTCTTTACTGCTAGGGTGATTTTTTCAGTGTGAAGCCCAAGGGAGATTTTTAGGGAAACTTGTCTCTTAAAAAAGTATATGTTCAAGAACACACACTTACAGACAACTTACAGAGAAACTTAGAAAGTAGCTGTGGGATAGGGGGTGGGCTAAAATTAAACCCTATATTTGTCTATGCAGGAGTAACGGAGTTGTAGAATGTTGAAGAAGCTGAAATAAGAGACTTTGCCTGGTATAGGGCTATGCCCCTGTCATCCCAGCTACTCGGGAGGCTGATGTGGCAGGATCACAGGAGTTTTTATTTTCATTTTGCTTAAAAAAAAGGTAAAAGTAAAAGAAGAGTCTAAATTTTTAATTATAATTTATTTTTTAAAAATTATTTTTTTAAATTAACATAAAAATTGTAAAAGCCAGGTATGGTAGCACTCCCTGCAATCCCAGCAACTTTAGAGACTGAGGCAGGAGGATTACAAGTTCAATGCCAGCCCCAGCAATTTATCGAGGTCCTGTCTGTGTCTATCTGTCTCCCTCCCTCCCTCCCTCTCTCTCTCTTTGGTACTGGCAATTGGGGTGCTTTACCACTGAGTCACATTCCCTGCCCCTCCACTTTTTTTTTTTTTAACTTGAGATAGGGTTTCACTAAGTTGCTTAGGGTCTCGCTAAGTTGCTGAGTCTGGCTGTGAACTTACCATCCTTCTGCCTCAGCCTCCTGAGTTGCTGCAATTATAGGTATGTGCCACCCTCCTGGAGATACCCTGTCTCAAAATAGGAAATTAAAAGGCCCCGGGATATAAAATTAAAAAATAAAAATTGTATTTATTTATGGGGTACCATGAAATTTTCCAGTATGTGTATGCATTGTGTAATGTTTTAATCAAGGTTAAGTATATCTAGTACTAGAAACATTTATCATTTTTTATGGTGAAAATATTTAAAATCCCAGCTTCATTGAAATATGTAGTATATTATAATTATTTCTAATCACCCTAATGTGTAAGATCTCTTACTTTTGAGTAGTGTGAAAAGCCGTAGGGTGAATCAGTTGACCTGGGTTCCTTTGTCTGCTGAGTCACTATGTGTTCTTAGGCAAGTTATTTAACTCCTCTGGATTTTATATTCCCCTTTGTGAAAAGTGAAGCTGTCAAGAGGCAAATCCTAAGGTTCTTAAATCCTTTTTCTAATATGTGTTTATTTTAAATCCTGTTTCTAAGTGTGTGTTTAGATTCAACACTTCCTAGGTAACAGTGAAGTTCTCAGGTCCAGGTCTGAGCCAGGTGCAGTGGTGCACACCTGCAATTCCAGCTATTCAGAAGGTTGAGTCAGGAAGATCACAAA